AACACCTTTGAATTACTGCGTGATAAGCAGTTTATATAGCTTGCCCCGTTGGGCTCGAATCCACCAAATGCGCGCTATCAGTGGGTCTGTCTTAATAACGTTATTTACTTCTCACACTCCAATACTCTATGCGTGTATTTACGTTAAACAAGTAGGTATATGTTTACTTTCGCATTTTACCCAAAATTCAGGATTCAAAACAATTTTACACTTTAGGAACGAAATCGGAGAATTGTCAGCGATCATAAATATCGACGAGCAATTTTTGCATATTTTCTAGTTGATCGAAGCGTCACTGTATGAAAGCAATGTCTGACAAAGCGAGAACGAATACGTAAGCCAAAAAGAATATACTCTCTTTTTAATGATGAAAGTTTCACATTAGGTGAGGAGGTTACAGATCGTTTTATGTCTCTCCCAGCAAACATCTCGTCATTCAAAGCTAACACCTTTCGAACAACAATTCATTGCTCGACTGACATGAGCTTCTAGAATAATTTCTAATGAGCGGTCAATACATTCCATCGCGCCAATAATACAGCAAGTGATGCACTAGTATTAGGATCTATCGATTGCTCCCCTGAATAAAGAAGCGATACGAAAGTTCGTCTGCCAGGCCGGCCGTTTTAAGGTGGCTTAGAGATAATGCGTGACTGAACACATATGCACACGTACTCAGGTTCAGTGAGATTACTCTCGGGTTACAGTGAGTGTAAGCGATGAGGGTATTATTCGAGAATTTACGTATATATTAATACTACGGGTTGATATAAACATGATGCTATTTTTGCAGCATTTCTTAGCTCATACAATAGCATGGCGGTGGTGACGTTAATTCCGATTCCAGCATTTAGCTAAATACTGTGGTCATATTTTTTTCTTCACAGTAATTACGATGACAGGCTGCCACTTTTAGCTCCTAAAAATGTAGATAATATAACCGCAAAACATCGTAATCTTTAGTAAGTCTTTGGTTCGCATTTAAAACTTCGAAGTACTTACAGCAGTATGTATTTTACGATAAAATCATATTGTACTACAATAGACGGTTGGAAAGTTAGTATGTTTGGTCAGCCACTCAAGTCAATCCTTCATCGTTCAGCCGTGAGGGCCAAAACCATGCAGAAAAATAAAGTTGGAACTGCACACCGTTTTCGCGGGGGAGCATCATTTAGTATTTGCAAATAAATCAGAGTTTAACATACAAATTAGTGCTCATTTGGATTCAGGGGTATCATGTATCAAAGGTCAAAGGTCGCGAAAACGGGGTGCAGTTCCGTATCGCGAATTCAAAACCAGCCAAATCGAACCTTGGTTTGCAACCTTCCACTCTTTCAAAGAAGGTTTGAGTTGAAAAAAAAAACAAGACGCAATGATTTAATTTTATTGGCCGGTCAAGCATACTTTCCAACCGTGATAACCCCTAATCTATGGCATACGTAAAATGCTGTGCAATGCGTTGGTCGTGGTTGTGGTCGAATAATTAATCACGAAGCTCGATTTAATCCCTCCAAACCGGGAACTGGAAGGAACATGTAAACGGCAGCGTAATCAAACTTAATGTTTGTAAGTAAATGTGGTTAGGACTGCTAGGATTCAGGATGTGCAGTTGCAAATGCGTGCTAATGTATCATATAAACTGATGTAGCGAGCTGATTAGACTTGCCATACTGCATTATGTTACGTAATTTAGATAGTGATGGGGCGTCCTCGGAACAGAACCAGCACATTGTCGTTGATATTTTTCAGATATTTAGAGTGTAATACCTCCCATACTAAACCATATATGAGAAAATGGGATGTCACCCCTAAAGTTCTTGCAAACCTTTGACCTGTCCGGTTGTATTCTATGCACTATTCAAAAATGTAGTGAGTCGCTCAGTCGACAAATCATCTGGTGCTGCAATATATTGACACGCTAAATACTTGTACAAAAGCGGTTCACTACGATGCATACAACTTGCAAGGTGTATCATGTACTTGACACGACGCGCGCAACTTCAAGACACAATGCAGAAAGGTATTCAAGTAACACAATTTTTTGCTCACTACCCTGCATATATGCAGCAATATAGACAGCCTAATGTGCAGCTTAAAGCTTACGGGCTAGTGCGACGTCTCTTGCTTGATTCCGGCGTACCAGGCGTCGAAGGAGTGCCTGGACCAGTCATCTTTCGACGCACTCGAATAGACTTGCCTTTGCTTACCGGGATCAGTTTGCCATTTACCCACTCTATGTGCCAGATGTCCCAGCAGGTCATGGCGGCCCCACGTACATTCCGTCGAGCTCGCATGCAGAGGAAAATTGGCCCGCCTTGTTGCCGTTCTTGCAGACGTATGTCGGGGTGGATACGCGGTTGTTTTCAGCTCGTAGAACGTAGCACACTTTACACGCGCGCTGGCGACGTTTGGCCTGCGTACCTTCGTTCCGCCATTCATCACTTTGGAGAGCCATGTGCTCGATTGACTGGGAGATGCCGATAGGAAGCGGGTCATAGCTTTGTAAAGAAGCAGGAAGCTGCGTGCCGAATGTGTTCCCTTCATACATGTCCGTAGGTTGGAGTTGGCTAAGCTTGAGGTGAAGTTTAATCATGTACTTGACGTGTGTGAGCGGGCGCGACTCTTTGTACTTGTGGTAGGCTTTGTGTATGATATAGCCGGTAACGATTGCCATATCAATCAACCCCAGCACTAACGACTTATAATACTTCTTGAAACGGAGTGCACGCTGCAGCGGATAGCGCTGCAGCCGCAACTGGTCGACGCCACCCATGAATGCGTGGTAGTCCTTCAGGACTCGAGGGCAGGGCACCTCAACTTGCTCAGCACTATCTTGCCGCACCACCCTATCGATTTCAGGGCTGCCACCACTACACAGGAAATGCACCGGTCTTGGGTCCCATCCACTAATTGCCTTCATACTCGGAACGAGCTTTGAACGCGCGATTCTAAACGACCCCCGTGAAATTGTCGCTGGACGGGTTCTCTTTTTCTCAATCCCTTTCTTACAGTAACAAAGACGATTCGTCATGATCGTACCAACGCAATAGAAACCCATAAGCAGAAGCTGTATAGCCAATGCCACAGACGTGTAGAAACGGTCAATCATGATTAATAGAAGCAGTACATACCGTTAGCGTAGTATTCAAGCACAACCTCCTCGCCTCGAAAAAAATGGACACCTTCAGTCCCAGTTGTGCTTTCAGCAGGCCGAATGTAAAAATAACGGTCGTCTAAACTGCGTCGCGGGGGTGGCTTGCGCGTCCACCCATCTTTTTCAGCTCCTTCCACACCGATTTAAACGATAAGTCGCGTCCACTTACTTCAAAGTCACACAGCACCCTGCCAGCGGCTCTCATCATTTTCTCTGGGTCGACTTGCGCTCTGGGTCGGCAAATTCTCAAATGAGAGAGATTTTGATAAGGAGGGGCTACGGTCTCTGATAGCCACTCGTGCACCGGCATCCTGCCCATTGTCTCTGCAAAGTGATGCAAGTCAGTTGCTGTTTCCCAAAACCTCTAAATTGCATTTTACAAATTTTGATAAATGGCGGTCACTCCCCGCTGTGGAAAAAGAAATATGTGAGCAGAAACGCCACAATATTTTGACTTGCGGTTTGTAAACCGATGTGTCGGGGGAAAGGGCGCCAATACAAACTTTAAGATTAAATTTGCTTAAACTGAATATATTTAGTTTAAGCCTTCAAATCTAAATTGCATTATGCAGCATCCGGTTTGGAGGGGTTAAAACCAGATGGCTAAAGAGAAAGTAAGTACAACTCAGCCCTAGTTTTGAGCGACATTTTTCTGCAGCTTAAATAAGGATTGTACATGTATTTCGCATGCCCTCTGTGACAATAGCTCGTGATTTGGACTTTCCACTCTTTCTTTAAAGCTTCATTAAAATATTTTAAAATAATTTTGTCTTAATTATTTAGAGCTGATAAAATGGGATGCGCTCGTATCCCTATTGTCTAGCAGCACTATTCTGGACCCGTCTTCACTCTAACCGGCTCTAAGTGAAACTATAAAAGATCAAGAGAAAAGATCAAATTACGAGCTATCGATTGGTGTTCACAATTTTCAAATCGACCAAATATTCATCGAGTTTTAAATTATTGTAAGCACATAGCCAAAAAGCACGCTAATCTGGTCGTGGCCTGATTATGGGTAGGACTACTCCAACTATTTACATGAATTCTACTGAGCTGATTCGTCACTACGACTAAACAGGGACTAGCCGATCAGTCACTACGACTAAACAGGACTTGCTGATCAGTCACTACGACTAAACAGGACTTGCTTTTTAGTCCCTAGGACTAAACAAAGTGGTTAACGGGAAAGTCCTGCTTCAAAACAAAGAATAAAACAATAGCTCGGGTGATGGCACTGTACGGTAGTCAAGCTGACCGCCGCTACGAATCGCAAGTCGACTTACATCGGTGTTTTACTTCAAAAACAAAATACTAAAGGCTTTTCCAGGTGCTAATAGTAGTTCTAAGCACGCTCCGGTGGATTTAATTTTCCTCCCAATTTAAGGGTTTTCACAACAAAGGATCTGATCTGTGAAGCTGAGGCTCATAGGATCATCAAGTCTGTAAAATCATCGTTTTAGGTGGGCTGTTCTTTAAAAAAAAGAATTTAATTCTAAACACAGAGTTTGGCAAAAACTTTACAACGCAGACCAAAGTTTAGCTCGTCTAGCGCATTCCCAAATCTAGTTTCATTTCTTATTTTTTTAAAAAGATAGATTTTGGACGTTTTAGTGTAACATTAGTAAAAAATAATCTTTTTGGAGAACCACATTGTTTAGTTTTAACACTGTTTACAGTATTAAAAGCAGGGCCTGCACCAATACCGAATGATTGGTTTTGGTTTGTTTAAGATAAGGACGTCATTCCAAATCTAACAGGGTACGCCCCTACATTGGTTTGCCACTTTGCAATTCACTCGTCAGATACCAGGACCAAGCCACAGCACATCGCAAATTAAATCACGACGATGCATCTCTCTTTGGCCTTATGGCTGATGCCTGTCGTTGTCCTTGCATGTGTTGCGAGTGCTTTGGAGGACATCACCTCAACACACACCTTTGTGGACAAGCAAAACAATGACCCTGATTTAGGGATCTTGCGTGCCTACGACAGCGTGATTGAAACTGGTGAAGAGAGAGTCAACTTGCGAAAAACGGCAAACTCACTCGTCGAGTCTGCTAAGCTGAAGTTTTTTTTGCTGAATAAAATGAGTGGGGTCGACGTTCTGAACAAATTAAAGGTCGGAGATGAAGCTTCGGCTGCGTTGAAGAGCTCCAAAATCGAGGCTTTGACACAATACATCACGATGTTCAACAACAAGAACCCGGACAAGAAAATCTCTCTCATTGGGACTCTCACCGCCCGATATGGAGATGATAAAGTGGCGAAGGCGCTAGTGGCAGTGGAAAAAGATGGAGCTGCTCCGAAGGTGATGGAGCTTGCAAAGAAGTTGCGGGCTGACCCCAACTGTCTGCTTGGTTGGATGGTCGTAAATCTGTCGACGATGTTTTCCTTTTACTCAAGCTTCATGCCTATGGACCTGGAGCGCTCGGAAGTCGAAAATTGGACATACTGGATGATTACATTGTGAAAGTCAACAGTGAGGAAAACAAAAAGGAACTTTGCTCAAGACGTTGGCAAATGGATTTAGCGATGAAAGCGATTTGACAAGATATATAACCTTAGCAGAATACAACATCGTGTCACATGTGAAGGCCGTCCAACTGAAGAACCTCAGACAGTGGCAAGGCAATAACTTGGAGCCAGCAGCGGTCATGAAGCTGCTTAATCTTGATGGCAATGTGAAGAATGCTGTGAAAAGCATAGAACTGAGGAGATTGGACGATTACATTACCGAGTTCAATGTGAATAATCCGAGCAGTCAGGCGACGCTGCTCGGGACGCTCACGGCAAAGTATGGAGAGGCAAATGTGGCGAAGGCGATCGTGTCTGCTGTGAGGGACGATAATATGCTTGCCACGCGGTTGCAGAAACAACAGTTGGATGGATGGCTGCAAAAAGACAAGTCAGTGGACGATGTTTCCATGCATCTGAAGCTAAATGACCCTAAAACTGCAGTCCTTAGCCGCAATGTCGAAACATTGGATAAGTACATCACGCTTTACAACCGTAGAATATATATTTGGTCTCTGACGAGTTTGGTCACGCCATAATTTTGCACTTTGGTCACGAGACCAAACCGGTTGGTCTCGTTAACGCACGTGTTCAAATATGCCCTTGGTCACGTACGACAGCAACAAGAAAACCCAAACGCGACCAAAGGCTTTTTGCTCATTTACACAGCTGTAGTGTTAAAGACATAGCCCGCAACGAGCCTCGCGAAACCACGACTATCATCGCGAAACCAACGAGTTGTTACATTTTGGTACATCTATACTTGAAGAGCTTTAAGAATAATCCAGCAAGGGCCTCGCGAAACCAACGAGCTGTTATTAATGAAGGGGCTCCATAAATCTACACACTTCAAGTGTTTAAGTCATAATCCCCCAAGAGCCTCGCTGAACCAACGAGCAGTTCTTTACGGGGTGCGCATGCTTTCAACTCGGTGTGAGTCTCATTTTCAGAATTGCATCCTATAACCGACACTACACATGAGACGCTCGTCACCATCACCTCGGCATCAAAAGCGATGTCAAAGTCCCCGATACTCACCAACCTCTCGTCCCAATACGCGCTCGACAAGCTCTCAATATCCTCATGAAGAGCTTGTTGTAAGCTTGGACGACCCTCTAGCCTCAACCCAGTTGGCAGCGTCCGTACAGCTAATGCCACCATCACCGCTCTTGTCCATTGCTCCTACTTCTCGTACAGAGAGGCTACCCCCACAGCCCGCGCAACTGGGTCAATCGAACGTGGCCACACCGCATCAAACTACAGAGATCATAACAAGCTCCAATGATCGGCCTCCACGTCATGCTCGAGGTGGAGATCTGCATGTGCGCTCAGAGCAGCGGCCCCGAGAAGGAAAATCAAAAATTTACCATCAAGGCTTCGAATACACACGCGCAAAAGTATCAGCAGTCAAAATAACGTATGTATGTATCTTCTATAGGAAGCCCAAACTATGTCCTGGGCTCCTGTTTTACTATGCTGACACAATGACGTACGACTTTGACAACATGGTACCCCATACATGTCGGAGCAGAAAGGTATCTGGGGCTGCGAGTGACGAATCTGTCTGTATCGACATGGAAGAAGAGATGAAAACATTTGTTGATAATTTAGCCGAACAAGATGTTCCAGCTAGCAAGATATGGACTCTGGCTTACGAAAAGTTTTACGAAAACTCGATTGGAGTTGTCCGTGGTCTCTCACGAAAACAAGTGATCGCACGTGTGGGAAAGTCAAAATCGGGAACAAATATTTTTACCTTGTTGGAGAGTCCCGAAAGAGTAAAAGTATTCGGTACCAACATGGGTTTCCTTCAATTTCACTACGTTTGGCACGATGACATTAGAGCAAAGCAAAATAAGTCTGGCATTGAGCGATTGATCGGTTGGGCGCATCCCGAACTTCGAAATCTCCTTCGAATTGACGGTGCCCATTTATTTGTCGATGGCACGTTCCGGTGCACACCCAAAGGATATCACCAGTTTGTGACCCTCATGATGTATGATCAGTATACGGAGCTATACGTACCTGTATTTTTTACGCTGGCAACAAATAAAACGGAAAAGCTGTACAATAAAATGTTCAAGTGCATCGAGTTTTCGTTGGGGAAAAAACCAAATCCAGCGAACGTGGTTTGTGACTTTGAAGCAGCCTTGATTTTTGCAATACGTGATAATTTTCCGTCAACACGCATTGTTGGCTGCTTGTTCCATTTCAAGCAGGCGTGTAGCAGGAAACTAAAGGAGTACAGTATGCCGAAAGATGAATCTGCAATTGCGATGTCTTTTGGAGTATTTGACATGCTCACCGTAGTTGACTCAGACAAGATTTCGGTACAGGGGGTTGCGTGGGTTAAACGCGAGATTAAAAAGCGTTGCGATCGGAAAAGTATTACGTATTCTCGGGAAAAGTGGAATAAGTTTTGGGCATACTTTGCCAAAACATGGTTAGAAACCTACCCTCCCGATCTTTGGAATATATATGGCGTTCAACGTCAAATCGTGAATCGGACTAACAATCCTCTAGAGAGGTTTCACCGGGAGCTGAATGCGAGGATAAAGACTCATCCGTCACTTAATAATTTCGTCCGCGTCATTGAACAATTTGCAAGGGAGTATGTTGTACTGCGCAAAAGTATTATATCTGGTGATGCTACCGCTCCTGTGCGACCTCCAATGCGATTCCTAAAAGCGGCGGCTTTGCCCAACGTCAGCGATATCGAGGCATCACCCAGCGAGGATGAGGACGATGCATCTCTCGGTAGTGATGACAGCGACGCGGCCCCCAACTTGTCTGACGAAGATCTCGGTATTGTGTACGACAACTCATTTGATTATGAGGAAGAAGAGAAAGCAGACGGATCTTAAAAACATGAATTATATATGATTTTACAGCATCTAATGACATGTCGATTTGAGCACGGGTTGTCACACGCTTCAATATATAATGATCGAGCCGATACGTAGAATCATTATGTCCCGTTGATAAAGATCTACGATGTCGGGTGACTTGATTTATACTTTTCCATGACAGTATTAGGCACATACTTGTTATCAAGGTGTTAGTCGAGCCGCCAGCGATGTCTGCCGGCAGAACTAGTGAAAGCACCAACGATACTAATCGCTACCGGCACAGTTGTACTTGCTATCAGCATACTTACCGGGTTAGTTGCACTTATTCAAACAGTAAATAATTTACGATACAAATCTCTGGCGGTTGCGTAGTACTATAAGATCTCAATTGCATAAGTCTGAGGGGGCCTGCACTAACGGAGGTAGCAGTCGCAGAGCTGACAAGAACACCAAGTGTTATCCATCGCCGAGGTCAAGTTTGATTAGACCACGTGACCAAACGATTATTTTTGAGCGGGACCAAAATCGTCAGAGACCAAGGAGGATGATTACCCTTTACAACGGCAAGAAAAAAACACAAAAAAACTCTGGTAGAGCCATTTCTGAAGGCGTTCGGCGAGCCTCGATTGGACACAATGCTAAGCAAAATTCCTGCTAACAGTAAGGAAACAAATGCTGCGAACCTACTTACACAATTCCGTTTCTGGCAGTTTAAACATCCACGCCTTCGCCGGAATGTCCTATGAAGCTGAGGGCTGTCTGTTAAGAACCGTGATTCGTATTATTAGGCATCCAAGTCTAGGATTGAATAATTGAATCACAGCAATGATGGATCATTTTCACTCGATTTAGCTAAACGATACTACTACTACTAGTAGTATTACGCTTGCCTTTTAGCGACCTTTATTTTCAGAATAAACTCTGTGCATTCCAGCGTCTTCGCACGTACGAAAGCGCGCGGTTGGTAAATCCTGATTCAATGCCTCTGTTAGAATGCATCAGCAAGAGCTGAGTCCGCTCATGATCATTGAGCATGAGGTGAAAGCTCTCCACGTGGATCAATATCATTTAATACGTAGGCCGCAACGAACCAAAAATGTGCTGATTTGCCATCTTTTTCTTCTTTTTGCTGCTTAAGTGAGGTAAAATTGTTCCACAACTATCGTCCGGTCAGCCCGTTTTGAGCGGATACGGTGGAAAAGGAGCACGTGCACTTAATTTAGAAAGAGGAAGCTACCTTGGGAACTACTTCGAAATGAAGCATTACCAAAACATACAGAGCATTTAACCCCTCCAGACCGATGCTGACATAACGCAGTTTAGAATTTGAAGGCTTAAGCTGAATATGTTCAGTTTAAGCAAATTTAATCTTAAAGTTGGTAAGAGTGGCCTTTCCCCGGACACGAGGGGAATTCGAATCACAGTAAAAAAATGTGGCGTTTCTGTTCGCACATTTTTTTTTCGCAGGCTTTGAGAGACATTAGGAAACTGCAACTCATATACATCGTTTTGCAGAAACAACTGCCTGGACATTGCGGTACGAGTGGCTCGCAGAGGCCGTGTCTCGCTCCACCTTTTCAAAGCTCCCTCGAACCCAGAGCGCAAGTCGACCCAGAGAAAATGATGAGAACTATTGGCAGGGTGCTCCGTGACTTTGAAATCGCCGGGCGTGACTTATCGCTCAAGTCGGCGTGGAAGGAGCTAAGCAAAGATGGCTGGACGCGCAAGCCACCCCCACGACGCAGTTTAAACGACCGCTACTTCATCATTCGTCCTGGTGAAAGCACAACCGGGCCGGATGGTGTCCATTTCTTTCGTGGCGAAAGGTATTGCCTAAATACTTCGCTAACGGTATGAACTGTTGTTATCGATCTTATTGGTGCAAACTAATCGAGTTTGTTGTTCATAGTGCTGCGTTCTGGTGCTCCTTTTGCGAATGTTACTCCGCGCATGGTTCCGGAAGATGCACAACTAGCTAGCAGCTGCAATCGTTCGCCAAACGTACGATGCTGGTATCCTGGCCCGGAAGCTAGAGCTGAAGCTACCGGAGCATCCTCAGCAGCAACGCTGGCCCCTGGAACAACCAAAGCACATGGTTCAGCATCCC